TTCAAGGCTGGGGCCAGAGGCTCCCAGCTCCGAGGTCCACTCCACCTGCCTGCGGGCAGCCGGGGTTCCCAGCGGCGGTGTCCGCGCTCCGGTCTCCGCGCCTCAGCCTCGGCCCTGTCCTCCGCGCTCGGGGCGCGGATGGTCCCCGGCTTTCGGGCTGCACTGGCCCCCGGAGCCGCCAGCAAAGGGCAGCGTCCTCCCGCCTTCCCCAGGCGAACCCAGGCGCCGCCGGTCCACACCTCTGCGCCCACCGGGCGGGCCAGGTCGCCGACGGCCGGGTCCCCGAGGCGCGGGCCGGGACACCCTGCAAGAGCAGTCGAGGAGAACTGGGTGTCCGCACGACGAGCGCGCTCTGCCACTCCCCGGGAACGGGGCGAAGCCACAGCCTGGCACGGCCCGGCCCGGCCCAGGCAGCTTCCCGGGCGGCCTCCGCTCCGAGGGACGCAGTGGGTAAGCTGGTCCCCAGATCTCTGCCCCGGCCGGCTCCGGGCAGTTCTTCTGATGCCCACTCCCCCGACACTCACCCACAGGCCCCCACCTCCACAGAAGCAAGGACGGAAAATACCACTGTCACCAGTCGGCACGTTCCCGACTGACACCCTGCCTGGGAGCTTGCACAAAACCACAAGGGTGCCCCGGCACCTGGAAGCTTCCCGATGGACCCCCGTCTGTCGCTAGAAGGAAAAGCGCACCCCATCCTCGCCGCCGCGGCCCGCCCGCTGAGGAGGGCGCCCGTCGCGCGCGCAGCACCTACCCTGGCGCGCCGGTCCGGACGTGGGTGGCGCGGCGCTAGTGGGAGGCGGACATGGACCACGCGCCCTCCATGCGCCACACGGAGAAAGCGTAGCTGAGGCGCTCGTGGGCCACGTAGCTGCAGCTGGTCATCTTATTGTCCATCTCGTCGCTCTGCAGGACCTGGTAGAGGAAGTCTATGTACCTGGCGGCCAGCTTGAGCGTCTGGATCTTGCTGAGCTTGTCCGAGGGCAGCGTGGGGATGATCTTGCGCAGCGCAGCGAAGGCCTCGTTGAGCGACTGGGTGCGTTGGCGCTCGCGCACGTTGGCCAGGATGCGCTGGCTCTGCAGCTCCTCGAAGGACTGCGCGCTCGGGCTGCCCTTCTTGCCGCGCTTGCCGGGGGTCGGGCTGCCATCTTCGCTCGACTTCTTGCTGTAGCGCCGTTTCCGGCCGAAACGCTTGGGCTGCCGCTCGAGCTCCTCCTCGCTGGTGCCCAGGCTGTCCACGGGGGACACGGGCGAGCTGGAGCCCTCCTCCATGGCGCCCGCCCGGCGCGCGTGGGGCTGGGGGCGCCGGGCGCCGAGCGCGCGCCGCTGGCCAAGCCCGCGGTCGCCGAGCACACTTTCTCCGAGCTGCTCGAAAGGCTCTGATTTCAAGGCCGGCTTGTGCAAAACCGAGGTCTCCGGGAGAGGAAGTTATTCTAACTTTTTTGGAAACCCTAGCCGGGCTGGGTTGCTAAATAGTTGTCAGGAGCGAGGGCGGCGCGCTGATTGGCCGCCGCGCCCGGGGGCAGGGCAAGTTCTGGGGCCTTTGCTGGCCGCCCCCGCCCCCCGGCGCGGCACTTTCAGTTTTGCCTCCCCCTTAGGCCCCGGCCGCGGCGGGCACCCGCGAGTGCCGGGCCCTCGCGCGTCGCCCGCGCCTCCATCCCGGGCTCTGACCGCTCTCCGGCCGCGCCGCGCCCTGGGCTCAGCCGACCCGGCTTTGTCTGCTCCTTAACTGGAGATCGAAACTCGCCGGGCTGCGGGGTCTCTCCCGCGCCGCGAGGGGTGCGGGTGGCGAGTCCTACCCTGGATGCGCTCCCAGGAGGTGAGGACGCGGCGGGGAGACCCCGGGGGCGCCCGGGCCAGTGTGCGCCTTGCTTGCTCCGGGGCGCACAGCGAGTTCGCGCCGTGGCCCGCACGTTCGGCCAGGGGTGGGGGACGTGCGGGGGCCAGTAGCCCCGGCGCCCAGACAGCGGGCGTGCGGACACGCGGGTGCCCTTGGAGACGCCGCTCTCCACGCACGCGACGCGGGGATCCGTGGAGACGCGGCCTGCTCTGCCCAGCAGTTGTATGGGGGAGTTTCTCACCCCAACTTGCTGGGGAGCCCCGGCCCCGACGGCCTCAGCAGGCCGTCCTTCTAAGTGCGTTAAAACCTCAGCGCCACCGCGAGCCTCCGCGGGAGCGCCCGGCGCCCACCGCACCCACCTGCCTGGCCCCCGCCGGGGGTGCGGGAGCGGGGCGGGGGCGCCCGCTAGGCCGCGGTGCAGGGCCCCAGCCTCGGGGCCCACTCTCTCCTTCGCACATCGGCTGTTGACAGAGGGCGGTCTGGGGAGCCGCGCGGCCTCCCCTGCGCTGGGCGCCCGCGGGGCAGCCCGGGCGGCCGCAGAGCGGGGGCTCGGCCTCGGCGGGCGACACCGGGGACGTCGGCCCCGCGCCATCTGGACGCCGAGCGCGGGCGCGTTTGAAGTGGTTCGGGGGCTCTTTGTTCGCCAGGCCGTTCTGGCTCGGGGCCTGGAGGTGGTTTACGGCCTGGATGCCTTTGAACCTATTCCCAGGTGACCCGGGCTCAATTAGACCCGGGCCTGAGCGGGGCTGTCAGGCGAGCCGCGTGATCAAGGGCGGGCTGGGCCCTTTTACTGCAGTTGAACTCGGGGCCGGCGTGGCTGGGCCTCGGCTGCTCCGCGGGGCCGGGCCGCGCCCACCGCGTTAGGAAACCCGAGGGCGAGCGGCTGCGTGTGCGGCCCGGGCGGCCCAGGGGGACGTTTCCCACCCCCGCAGTTAGCGATGGGAGACAGAGCTGGAGGGGAGAGGCCCGCGCACAATGTGGCTGCGTCAGAGCGCTGCTGGTTTGCAGTTTCTTCCCCACCCGCGGGCTTCACGATCTGAAAACTACAGGATCCTAAGACTACGGGGTCCTAGGAGTCGCCGCGCCCAGCCCGCCGCGCCTGACCACCTCCTTCTCCAGCTCTGGTATGGCGCTCAGACTATCCAGCGCAGCAAAATAGCTTTCCGTGTCTCTTTAAAAATCTAAAATTAAAACTTAAGGAACAAAAGAGAGAGTGAGAGGGGCGTGGGGAGCGTCCTGGCCTCGCTGGGGCCCAGCCTTCCCGAGGCTTTGCGCGTCTAAAGGGCTCGCGCCGTATGGGAACCGCAGCGACTTGCTGCCCTTCAACTCCGTGCGTCGCTCAGTTCGCGGAGACCGAGGGCCCAGACCCCCGTTTCCCGCCCAGCTTACATAAGCCCAGAGACGTCCCTCCCCCCTCCCCCTGCCCATGAGCCCAGAGAGCGAGCGTGTAAGGAGGAGAGGAGCCTGCCTTGTAGGGTGCACCACCCCACTCTGTCTGCCCTGCTGCCCACGGGCATGAGAACGATTTCTGGAAGTCCCGTCTAAGAGCCGATCACCTCCCTAAGCCACAGCAATAGGGTGGAGCTGGGCTTACAAGGGGCGAACACCTGATATCCAAGGCACAGATGACCTACAGGTACGATTCTCCTGTAGGAAAATCCCTTTTAGAAATTTCCCTTTGAAAAATCGCTCAAGAGGGCATAGGCCAAGCCCGCGTTATAACAGTCAGACCCTTGCCTCGCGCGTCTAATGTTACCACGACAAGGCTTGAAAGGATGGTTCCTGCAGTGTGTGCAGTTGTACGTGGTGGACGGGTGCTCCACGGTCCTTTCCGTCCTTCTCCTACAGATCCTTCCCGCATTGCAGGAGTTGAAAAGCTACAGAGGACCTCTCTCCAACTCTGGCAGCCCTGGTCTGCAAGATGCAGTCCTGGGGTGGAGATGTTCGGCTGCTCCTGGAAGGGCAGTGTCTGCTCACATCTAGAGGCAGGGGGAAAAGCAACCCTTTTCTGGAGTGGAACCCAGCACGCTGGGAGTGTGGCAGTAGCAGTAGCTCCTTGACTCCAGGCTGGTTCTGGAATCACTGTTTTCCTGGTACAGTGAGGCAGGGGCTCCAGGTCTGCAGTGTGGTTTGCAAGCCGGTCCCCAAAGCCCTGTCTAGAGTCTGTTTATCAGCTCCACTGCAATTCTGTCATATTCCCTAATAAGTTGTTTCCTGCATAAACTAGCCAGTGTGGGCCCTGTTCTCTGCAAGAGAACTCTGCGACACCCCGACTGTGGACCGTAGCGTAGAAGATGAACGCTAGGGCTCTTCCCAGGGTGCCTTGTTTTCTCGACATCTCTCACTTGTAATGTGGGGATAACGTGGGCCTTGGCCGCACATTTATTAATGCCTTTAAGATCAAATCAGCAACAAACTCAGGCTATGATTTTTTTTTCACGTGGAATGTATACCTAATTTCAGTTTAAAAACAACACCAGAGGGCTTCCCTGGTGGCGCAGTGGTTAAGAATCCTCCTGCCAATGCAGGGGACACAGGTTCGAGCCCTGGGCTGGGAAGATCCCACATGCCGTGGAGCAACTAAGCCCGTGCGCCACAACTACTGAGTCTGTGCTCTAGAGCCCGTGAGCCACAACTACTGAAGCCTGCGCACCTCTAGAGCCCGTGCTCCGCAGCAAGAGAAGCCACCGCAACAAGAAGCCCACGCACCACAACGAAGAGTAGCCCCTGCTCGCCGCAACGAGAGAAAGCCTGCGCGCAGCAACGAAGACCCAGCACGGCCAAAAATAAATAAATAAATGTTTAAAAATAAGAATGAAAAATAAATAGAAACAACACCAGAAAGATCAACCCTGGCCTAAAAAGAATGGGAGGGAGAGAACAAGGTGTAGGGGTCTGGGACAGCAGCCAGGCTCCTCTGCATAAAACTTGTTATGGGGCTTCCCTTGTGGCACAGTGGTTGGGAGTCTGCCTGCCGATGCAGGGGACACGGGTTCGGGCCCTGGTCCGGGAGGATCCCACGTGCCGCGGAGCGGCTGGGCCCGTGAGCCATGGCCGCTGAGCCTGCGCGTCCGGAGCCTGTGCACCGAAAAGGAAAAAAAAAAAAAAAAGAGAGGCCAAAAAACCAAAAAAAAAAAAAAAAAAAAAAAAAAAAAAAACTTGTTATGTAGATTTGACTTTGAAACCATATAAATGTTTCACATAATTATTTAAAAATTAAACCAAAATGAGAAAAAAGTAGAAAACCCTAAAAAGTCAAAAGCAAAATCAGGCAGATGTACCTAATTTTGTATCATCTTTGTGGCTTAACCATGCAGACAGAAATAATTTAAGATCACTTTAAACGCTGTGATTTGACTCTATCCATCCCTAGAGGGATAGACTGTAAAGGAGAGAGAAAAGAACCGCATAAAGGCTTAATCTGTTTTCAGTATTCATATTTCTAGTAACAGTATTGCTGCTGTCATTCTGAAACTGTGACCTAAAGCAAGTTATTATGTTTACATCTTTGGGAATTGAGATTTCCACCCTAAAAGAAAAGAGATACAAATATAAAATGAAAGAAGTTAGGTAAGAGCATGGCTTTCTAAATTTGTTGGAAATATCAGTATGAGCTCATAATGTATTTCCTCTTAAACAATGTATTTCTTGACCCTGACCGTCGGAAAAGCACAGACGCCTTGAGTGACCCAGGGGCAGTGAGCACCCCTGGTGTCCATATGGTGGCCTCTCCTTGAAGAAATGGCTGACTTAAGGTCTGGGGCAAGACGTGTACAAGATAAACGTGGTGCATCGTTTTATACCAGAGAGCAAGGAAGCTTTCAGGGACTCCTGGTCCTGCTGGGATCGTATTACTGCCCGGGAGCTTCCCACCACGGTGGACTGGGAGAGGCTGCCATCCACTGTGGTTCTAGGAGTAGCTGGATTTAACTTAGCCTGACTTGAATTCATGACTCAGGAAGGCATGTTTTCTCTCCCCGGCCCCCCACCCCTTTCAGATAGTTCCTTTAAGTTCTCACCGTCCTGTCGTGTTTGTTTTTAATCTTAAAATCTGTCACATCTTCTGCCCTCTCCTTCCCTCCCCCACGGCTCTTCAAACTTTGCACTTTCCAGTGGAGCCCAGCAGATCCTGTTGACTCTGATGGGTGGAGAGATAAGAGGACTTACGGTTACACTCTGATAAAAACACGCATTTTATTGTACACTGGAGGGAGGAATTGATGGAAGACAGAAGAGTATTAGTGCAGGCCGGTTCATGATCACTGACTGTGCGGTTCATGCCACGCTAAGAAGTGGGGTAGGAGCCAGGCAGCAGAGACTTCGCAATGCAGCACGTTGAGGGGTGTAGTGGAGTGTGCTGGACCCGGGCTGAGGTCTGAGGTGCTGGGGAAGACACCAGCAAAGGGGGAGCAAGTCTACCAGGAGAGATGAGAATGTGTCAAGAGTCATGGGTGTCCCCACAATGGGTGGTCCCTGCACCTGGGAGCTCAGGGGATCCGTGGCCAGCACTCTCTTGGTTACTGATGATACAAACACAATCTGTACATGTTTAACAGAAAAGGAATTTCTTCACTACTTCAGAAGCTCAGGCTCTGGCTGGCTTCAGGCTTAGCTGGATCCAGGAGTTTCGGTGATGCTGTGTCTCTCTTTTCCCGTCCACCCTGCAGCTCTGCTTCCCTCTGTGTGTGAGCCTCACTCTGTCTTAGTACAAGGCCCCCCCCCCTTGTGCCTGAGGATGACCGGCGTGACACTTCAGTGTCATATTATCCTGGTATGGCAGCACTAATTAAACGAGTTTTCTCCCGTTGCTCCAGCAGAGAAGGTAAGCATGGAACCCTGACTGGCTGGACTTGCACCATGTGGCTGCAGGCCTGGGGGGCCCTGAGATTGGGGAGGTCCCGCCTGGAAGAGAGGCTGGGCCCACGAGCAAGGCGTGTACGTTGCGGTGGCACCTGGGAGGAATGTTGGAGCCAGGCTCTCACAGGACCAATTACAGGGTTTGGATTTCCTTCTGAAGGCAATGGGAACCGAAGGAGAGTTCTAAGGAAAGATGTGATGACCCACTTTTACTTTGAGAGAAGTTGGAAAGTGACAGCCAGCTGGGGAGGTTGCATTCATCCATTTTTCCTCTTGCTGTATCTAGTTATATTTTCACTTTTAGGTTTACCAGTTGGGAACAGGAAGACATGCAATTTAAACACTGCTCCATCTCGTAAGAAAAAAAGGTAAAACCCAACCACATCCAGTCTGTGCAGGAGCAGAGAAAAACCAGGATATGAGGAGGAATCAGGATTCAGTGCTCCGTCGCCGACCAGAGGATGAGCTTGGGTTAGTCCCTTCGTCTCAGCGGGACTCAGTTTCCCCTCTGTGAAAGAATGGCTCGGAGTGAAAGTTTCGTGAGGTTCCCTTAACACGACAAGGTCTAGGTTCTGTTTTCAGAAACTGATATCCGGGTTGGGGAACTTAAGCTTCGTGTCACACTTAGACACGTTGTGGCGTTTTGGAAAGACCAGGGCCGGGGTGGGTACTTCCAGAACCTGGGGACTGGGTTTTTCTTTAATCTGTCTAAGTAATGTGCAGGGGAGCCTCGGTGACCACACGTGCCCTGACCCCTCATAAAGCCCCTGTCCTGTTGTGGCCTGGTCATAAACTTTCCTGGAAAGGTCATGTGAATGTATCGTTCCCCAATACTTTATAATTAGAAATTATGGTCTCTCTTCCACGTGACACTTTTGAGCTTTAGCAGATCTTAAATTAAAACTGTATACATGTTTTAAAATGTTCTTCAGAAAACTTTAATTGCACAAGTTGAAAATTTGACTGAAAAAGTCCTGAACGCTTATCTAAATAAACATACAGATCTGACCTCAAATGTTTCAAAAAATAAATTTGGAATTAAACGTGCGTGTGTTAAAACTCTTAAGTATAAAAGCTCATCAAGGAAGTCTCCTGGGGGAAACACTTCAGGGTGTGTGGCAAGTTTCTCTTTTATAGAGGTCACCAGAGCGGTGGGGAAGTGGGCGCAGAGCTCTCCCAGGTGACCGGGACACAGAACAATTGGCTGTCCTTGTTTAAAGAGAAAATGTGTGTGAGTGTGTGTGTGTGAGTGTGTGTGAGTGAGTGAGTGTGTGTGTGAGAGTGTGTGTGAGTGTGTGTGAGTGAGTGTGTGTGTGAGAGTGTGTGTGTGTGTGTGTGTGTGAGTGTGTGTGTCTGTGTGTGTGTGTGTGTGTCTGTGTGTGTGTTTACGTAGGGGTAAGGGCTGAGATGTAACTTCTCCAGGCTACACATTTCTTAGAAGGTTTTTAATTATTTGGCTTGACTCCATTTTCCTACTTCATTTCTTCATCTCCTGCTTTAGGGAAGATGGATAAGTAACAACCCAGGTGCACCTCAGGTTCCCCTCCTCACGGGTGAAAGTGCCAGGGAGGACGCTGGGCTCCCTCGAGCTGGAAGCCGGTGGCGGGCGTGAGGCCTGCTGGCTCCAGGCTTCTCCCTCCGATTCTGCTTTTTGCCTCTTCAGCCCTGCTGACTGTTCCTTACCCCTCTTCAAAAAGGGCCTCACACCCAACTCCGAGGAGACGCTGTCTGAACTCTGAATATAAAGGGAAACTAGCTTTATTTTAGCTTTTTGATGGATACTTTTTCCCCCCCCCCGGAGGAAAAGTTAATGAACACTAGTACCAAAGGATGAAAGTGTCACCTTTATTTCCCTGGGTCACACAGGAAATATTTTGTAGGTATGTGGTACATCTTTTGGGTGGGACTCCTATATCCTGGATCCATTCTGACACCCGTGGCCTCTGCTAATTCGTGGCTGAGCAGCTGGGATCACACTCCCTCATATTTTGGCTGTACAGAGGTTTGCAATTTAAGAGGAAGAAAATGTTTTTACTCATTTTCCATTTTTAAAGTCGTATAAAAAATCTGGAATATTGTTATTTTTTAAATTCTGCGAGTAAAATTTTGGTATATAATCAATAACAATGCACATGATGGGAACCTTCACATAACTGGATGTTTTCTTTATGCTCAAAGTGAAGGAAAATGGTCAATGCAATGGAGGGGAAGGTGAAGGAGGAGGAGAGAAGGTGATGGAGGAGCTGATTACACGAAGTAACAAACCCAAGAAACAGAAAACAGTCTTGTGCTTGCTTCTGGGGTGAGTGGAGAAGTGGCCCAGCTTCCCTCACCACCACGCCACCCTCTTGACTCCCTTGTTGTATGTCTTGAGACACTGAGATCCCCAGCCAGCAAGCAAGTATATTCCATACACAAAGGTAGGAAAGCGGATCTAAGTATGGGATGGAGAACTGGGTCCCTATCTCCTTTTTTGAAGGTATAACATACCTGCAAATAAACTCCACCCATTTTAAGTTTAAAATGTGATACCTTTTGACAACTGTGCAAAACATTTCCATCGCTCCATAAAGTTCCCCTGTGCCTTTTGCAGTCAGTCACCTCCCCCTTCCCAGCCACTGGCACCCACAGATCTAATTTATGTTCCTGTTTTGCCTTTTCCAGAAAGTCATAAAAACGAAGTTGTACAGGACATAGCCCTTTGTGTCTGGCTTTTTACACTTAGAATAATGCTTTTTAGATTCATCCACACTGTTGCATGCATCTATAGTTTGTTTCTTTCTATTGCTGAGTATTCAATTGAAAGAAACAAACTACAATTTGTTTATCCATCTATCAGTTGACGGACATTGGGGTTGTTTCCAGCTTTCAGTGATTATGAATAAAGCTGCATTCAAATCATTGTTTAGACATGCTTTCGTCTCTCTCAGGTAAATACCTAGGAGTGGGGTTGTTGAGTCCTATGTAAGTGTATGCTTAACTTAAGAAGAAACTGCCCGACTGTTTTACAGTGGCTGGACCATTTTGCATTCCCACCAACAATGTATAAAAGACCAGCTGCAGATGGCTATAATAATAAAAAACAAAACAAACAAACAAAAACCTAGCAAGTATTGGTAAGGATGTGGAGAAATTTGGTGATGTCTTAATAAGTTAATTATAGAATGATCACGTGACCCAGCAATGCCACCTTTGGGTATATACTCCAAAGAATTGAAAACAGGTGTTCAAACAAAACTTGTACACACATGTTCATAACAGAGTTATCCACAATTGCCCAAATATGGAAACAACACAAATGTCCATTGATGGATGAATGGGTAAACAAAACATGGTATAGCCAGACAATGGAATATTATTTAGTCTTAAAGAAGAATGAAGTACTTATTTGATATCACTTATATACGGAATCTAAAAAATACAACAAACTAGTGAATATAACAAAAAAGAAGCAGACTACAGGAATACAGGCGTGGGAGAGTGGGAGGTACAAGCTACTGGGTGTAAGAGAGGCTCAAGGATGCATTGCACAACCTGAGGAACGTAGCTAATATTTGGTAATAACGGTGAACAGAAAGTAACCTTTGAAAATTGTATCAAAATTTTTTTTAAATAAGGAATGAGGGCTTCCCTGGTGGCGCAGTGGTTGAGAGTCCGCCTGCCGATGCAGGGGACACGGGTTCGTGCCCCGGTCCGGGAGGATCCCACATGCCGCAGAGCGGCTGGGCCCGTGAGCCATGGCCGCTGAGCCTGCGCGTCCGGAGCCTGTGCTCCGCAACGGGAGAGGCCACAGCACTGAGAGGCCCGCGTACCGCAAAAAAAATAAATAAATAAATAAAATAAAATAAAATAAGGAATGAAATACTGATGTGTGCTACAACATGGATGGACCTTGACAACATTATGCAGAACAAAAGAAGCCAGAAAAAGGGTCACATATTGTATGGTTCCATTTATATGAAATATCCAGAAGACGCAAATCCATAGAGACAAATCAGATTGGTAGCTGCCAAGCGTTAGGAGGAGGGCGTGTACTAACCATGTGCTCTGTTTTCTGTATCTTATGATGCTTTGACGTCTTGGGGCCTTGTGGACCCAGAGAGGGATTGTCCCTCCTAGACTCAGTGGATTCTTGGAGATAGCAAACAGCTTGCCTGAGGACATCCCTTTGACATGCAAACCAACCAGTCCTGAGTGCAAACCTCAACCCTACTCATTTTATCAGTCTGGAACACAGTCCCTGCCCTAAATCACCCCAGAACCAGTTGCCAACAACTAGTGACCACCTCTGCAGCCCTGGCCGCTCAAAGGGTTTCACTCTCTAACCTGAAGTCGACTCAGCTTGCTTACCCTGCCCTGCCTAGCCTGCCACACACAAACCACAGTAAAGGCTCCCGTCCACATGTCCCCCTCTCTTCTGCCTCTTAACCACCCCTGGTACTTCCCCGTGTGGCCCTGCCTCCTGTTTCTATGGATCTGTGGGTAGAAAAACGTCATCCTTCATGACAGTCGTATCTATTTCTGTGTGTCTTCCCATACCTAATTGAAACAAATCCCAGGTACATTTTAAAACAGAGGAGAATAGAAAGCGTTTAATGTGTATACAGTTGCCCTTTGGGATGATAAAAATCTTCTGGAATTAGGTTGTGGTAATGGCTACACAACATTGTGAATGTACCGATTGTCTCTAATGGTAAATTTTATTCTGTATTTCTGTATTTTGCATTTCTACATAGACAATCATGTCTATGAATAAAAAGTTTTTATTCATTCTTTTCTATTATGTGCCTTTTATTGCTTTTTCTTGCCTTATTGTGCTGGGTAGGACCTCTATACAATGCCGAAAAGAAAACAAAATGCTGAGAGCGGAACTCCTTGCCTTTTTCCCAATCGGAGGAAAGCATTCAGATTCTTGCAGTTAAGTATGATGTTAGATGTAAGTTTTTCACAGATTCTCTTTATCAAGTTGAGGAAATGTCCTTCTATTTTTAGTTTAGAGTTTTTATAATGAATAGGTGTTGAATTTTGCCAAATCCTTTCTCTACATCATTGAGTTGATCATATTTTCTCTTTTTTAGTCTGTTAATATGGCAAATTACGTTCACTAATTTTTAGATGTTGAACCAACTTTGCAACTCTGGAGTGAATCCTACTTAAACATGATATATCATCCTTTATATGTATTGCTGGATTTAATTTGCTAATATTTTAAGAGTTTTTAATGTCTAATGTGTTTTTTTTTTTTCTTTGTAACACCTTTCCTTGGTTTGGGTATCAAGATAAAATTGGCCTCATAAAATAAGTTGGCAAGTGTTCCCTCCACTTGTATTTTCTAGAAGACATTGTATAGAATTGATATTATTTCTTTCTTAAATGTTTGATAATAGAAGCCTATGAAGCCATCTGTGTCTGTCCTTTTCTGTGTAGAATCCAAAGAAATTCAATTCACTGTAAGTTCAATTTCTCTAATAGAGGTAGGGTTATTCAGGTGGTCTGTTTCTTCTTGGGAGAATTTTGACAGCCTGTGTCTTTAAAGGAATTGTTCCATTTCATCTACCTTGTAAACTTGATTGCTGTGAAATTGTTAATAACATTCTCTAACTGTCCCTTTAATTTCTGTAGTATCTGCTTTATTCTTTTTTTTTAACTAATTAATTTATCTATTTTTGTCTGCGTTGGGTCTTAGTTGCTGTGCACGGGCTTCCTCCAGTTGCAGCGAGCAGGGGCTGCTCGTCATTGTGGTGCATGGGCTTCTCATTGCGGTGGCTTCTTGTTGTGGAGCACGGGCTCTAGGCGCTCAGGCTTCAGTAGTTGTGGCTCACAGGCTTAGCCGCTCCGCGGTATGTGTGATCTTCCCAGACCAGGGCTCAAACCCATGTACCCTGCATTGGCAGGCAGATTCTTAACCTCTGCGCCACCAGGGAAGTCCCTGCTTTATTCTTAATATATGTACTTTATGTATTCTCTCTTTTTTTTCTTATTCAGTCTGTATAAGTGGTAATCAATTTAATGCTTTCATTGATTTTTTTCTATTGTTTTTCTGTTTC